CATCAGGAAACATACATCAGGAAAAAGAGACAGCTTCATCAACAAATGATGCTGGACAAACTGGGTATCCACATATAGAAGAATGAAACTAGATTCCTATTATCTTGCCTTGAATAAAAATCAATTCCAAATGGATCAAAGACCTGAATGAAAGAACCAACTGAATAGGATTCTAGTTGCTTAAAAAATGACAATTGGGATCTACTTGAAATTACAAAGTTTCTTTACAGCAAAGGAAACCACCAAATGAAGAGAGAGCCTAAAGAATGGGAGAAAATTTTTGCTAGCTACATGTAACACAAAGAATTAAACCTAGAATATTTTAAAAATAGGCTAATGAAGCTGGGCATTGTGTCACACACTTTTAATCCCAGCACTCAGGAGGCAGAGACAAGTGTATCTATATGAGTTCAAGGCCTGGTCTACAGAGTGAGTTCCAGGACAGCTGGACTGTTAAACAGAGGAACCTTGTCTTACAAAACAAAAAACAAGCAAATAATAAAACTATGGGTTAATGAACTGCTGATAGTTCTACAAAAAAAATTAAGTAAATGTTCATCAAACACATAAAAAACTTTCATTAGCTATCAGGAAATCTTTACAATCCATTCCACCCCAGTCAGAACACTCATTAAGAAAACAACAGGAGGCCAGGGTTGGTGAAGCATACCTTTAACCCCAGCATGCAGGAAACAGAGGTAGGCAGACTCTTGAGTTTCAAGTCTACATATCAAATCCCAGGCCAGCCAACACTCCAACTCCAAAAGACAAAAGAAAGAAAATAATAAAGAAAGGAGGGAAGAGAGAAAAGAGTGAAAAGGAGTAGTTCTCTTATATACAGATGATAAACAGGATGAAAAAGAAATCAGGGAAACATCATCACCCTTCACAATAACCACAAATAACGTAAAACATATCTTGGAGTTACTCTAACCAAACAATTGAAAGACCTGTATGACAAGAACTGTAAGCCTTTGAAGAAAGAAACTGAAAAAGACATCAGAAAATGGAAAGATCTCCCATGATCTTGGAAAGGTAGGATTAACAGAAAAATGGCAATCTTATCAAAAGCAATTTACAGATTCAATGCAATCCCCAACAAAATCCCAGCACAATTCTTCACAGACCTTGAAAGAGTACTCAACTTCATATGGGGGGGGGGGACCCAGGATAGCCAAAACCATCCTGCACAATAAAGGAACTTCTGGAGGCCTCACATTGAGCTATAGTAATGAAAACAGCTTGGTATTGGCATAAAAACAGACAAGTGTGCCAATGGAATCAAATCAAAGACTCTGCTATCAATCCACACACCTATAAACATCTGATTTTTGACAAAGAAGCTAAAACTATAAAAAAAAGAAAACATGGATGTCGACATGTAAAAGAATGTAAAATAGATCCATTCTATCACCATGCACAAAACTCAAGTTTAAATGGATAAAAGACCTCAACATAAAATCAACTACACTGAACCTCATACTTAAATGCATTGGCACAGGAGACCACTTCCTAAATATAACACCAATAGCACAGACACTGGAGAGCATCAATGAATAAATGGGACCTCCTGAAACTGAGAAGCTTCTGTAAAGGAAAGGACACAGTCAACAAGACAAAACAGCAGCCTACAGACTGGGAAACGATCTTCACCAACCCCACATCTGACAAAGGACTGATCTCCAAAATATACAAAGAACTCAAGAAGCTAGACATCAAATGACCAAATAATCCAATTAAAAAGTGGGATACAGATCTAAATACAGAATTCTCAACAGAAGAATCTCAAATGGCTGAAGGACACTTAAGAAAGTGCTTAACATCCGTAGCCATCAGGAAAATGCAAATAAGAACAACTCTGAGATACCATCTTACTCCTGTCAGAATGGCTAAGACCAAAAGCACTGATGCCAGCTTATGCTGGAGAGGATGTGGAGAAAGGGTAACACTCCACTGCTGGTGGGAGTGAAAACTTGTACAGCTGCTTTGGAAATCAGTATGGTGGTTTCTCATAAAATTGGGAATCAATCTACCTCAGGACCCAGCAATACCACTTTTGGGCTTATACCCAATGAATGCACTTATTTCACAAAGACATCTGCTCAACTATGTTCATAACAGCATCATTTGTAATAGCCAGAACCTGGAAGCAACCTAGATGCTCCTCAACCAAAGAATGGATAAAGAAAATGTGGTAATTTACACAATGGAGAATCACTCAGCAGTAAAAAAATAACATCTTGAAATTAGCAGGCAAATGGACAGAACTAGAAAAAAACATCTTGAGTGAGATAACCCAGACCCAGAAAGACAAATATAATATGGACTCACTCATAGGTAGGTAGATACTAGACATAAAGCAAAAGATAAACAGCAGACAGCCCACAACCCCAGAAAACCTAGGCAACAAAGAGACTCTAAGAGAGACATATATGGATCTATCTAAGAATGGGAAAAAAGACAAGATCTCCTGAGTAAACTGGGAGCATGGGTATATGAGGGAAGGTGAAAAGGGAGACAGAAGGAGAGAAGGGGAGTGGGGAAAATGTATAGCTCAATAAAAACAAAGTAAAAATATATATGAAATAAGAAAAAACAAGTTTTTATTGCTCTTAATAAGGACCAGAATTTGTTTCCCAGCACCCACATCTGGCTGCTCACAACTATCTTGCAACTTGAGCTCCAGGGAATCTAACACCTCTGGCTTCAATGAACACTTGCACTCAGTGGTATACAAACACAATTTTAAAATAAAATAGCTGGGCAGTGGTGGCACACACCTTTAATCCCAGCACTCATGAGACAGAAGCAAGCCAATCTCTGTGAGTTCAAGGCCAGTCTGTCTACAGAACAAGTTCCACAACAGTCAGGGATATTACACAAAGAAACCTATCTTGAAAAAAGTAAGTGTGTGTGTGTGTGTGTGTGTGTGTGTGTGCGCGCGCGCGCGCACACGCCCTACATAAGACAAAAGACATACAGTGCTGGTGAAAATATAATCTAGCTACTATGGAAATCAATATGGAGGTTCCCTAAAAACAAACAAACAAAAACCCCTAAAAATAGATATATCACATGACCCAGATATATCACTCCTGAGAAGTACAAAAGCTGGCTCCCCTTCCCAGTGTGATCTTTGAACTCAGAAAGACCAGAGTAACAAAAAAAAAAAAAAATCTATTTTTTTATTCTCCTAGATAGTTTTGTTTCTAATATCATGTCATATATGCAAACATTTTTATATACAAAAATTTAGGCTCTATATAGGAAATAAAAGATTTGTCTTGCTGAAATTAAATTAATTCACTTAATACGTTTATCTTCATTTGTATACAGTTTTCCAGATTGGTCTAATAAAGAGCTGAATGACCAATAACTAGGCAGGAGAGGACAGGCGAGACTACTAGGCAGAGACAGAAACTCTGGGAAAGAATCTGAGGCAAGAGAGATTTGCTAGCCAGATGTAGAGAAGTTGGATGTACAGTAGAGGAGAGGTAATGAGCCATGTGGCAGAACATAGATTAATATAAATGAGTAAATTTAAGTTTTAAGAGCTAGTTAGGAATAAGCCTAAGCTAAAGCCAAGCTTTCATAACTAATAAGTTTCTGTGTCATTATTCAGGCAGTTCAAAGAAAGACTTGTTAACAAAAATGTACTCTTCTAAAATGACTCAAACATGCCATCAACATTCTTAAAACATGTTGCAACTCCCACAAAAGATTATGAAACACTATCAAGGCATCCATATTTTCTTGGCAAGAGTTATCTTCAGGAGCTGGCCCCCTCCCCTACTGATCAGCAGTCTCCTACATGGGAAACTACTTGTCTGTTGACAAGTATTGATGTTTTAGAGGCTGCACCAGGCAATACAGTTGCTACCAGTCACATGTGGTTACTTAGTATTTGAAATGTAACTAATCAACTATGACGAATGCACTTCATTCTCAAGTCTAATGAGAGATAGAGCTGAGCTAGGGAAATGGTCTGGTGGGGAAGAGGGATTACTGCACAGGCATGAGAACCTGAGTCCAGAGCCACATCACTCATATAAGAATCTATCTATAGGTGTCCATTTGTGCCTATAATGTCAGTACAGGATTTCTGGGGACTGTTAGCTACCAGGAAGCTGGGGGTGAGGACACCAAACAACAATGAGCTCCAGATTCAGTGAAATAAAAGACCTTGTGTTCACAGGAATAAGGCAGAGTGTGAGGAGGAGGAATACAGCTTACCAAAACATCTTTATACTGATGATGTTGACAAGGCAGTATTTTATGTATGTTGAACTAAATATTAAATTTATTTCAACTCTAAATTTTTTAAATATTTATTTTTATGTGTATATGTGAGTTCTTAGGTACATGTACATACACCATGTGTGTTCCTAGTGCCCTGAGGGACCAGAGAGGGTGTTAAATTCCATGAAACTGTAGTTACAGATGTCATGAGCAGCCCAATATGGTGCTGGGAACTTGTTGCAAGAGCAACAAGTACTCTTAACAACTGATTCATGTCTCCAGCCCCACAATTTAAATAGTTACTCAAAATCTTTAAAAATATGACCCATATTATACTCTTTTGTGGCCCTGAAGCTAAAACCCAGACTAATTGTTGGTGATTATGTTTTTTGTTTCTGAGGTAGATCTAATTGAAATTATTATGTAGCTCATGCGGTTCCCAAACTTGTATTTCTCCTTGTTTTCACCTCCTAAGAGCTGGCATTACACATCTATACCTGCACCTATACCAGCAGCAGCACCACCCTCCACATAAATACTACTTTTGGTCTTTTTAAATCAACCCTTCCTGTGCATCACACAAAACAGATGATCTTTATTCTAATCACAGGCGGTCTCTACAATAAGGGGATCCAATTCAAAATGCAAATCATGAAATGGGCAAGTTCTTCATAGGCCTCCCAAAGCAGACCTCAAACATGCACTCCTTAGCGACAGTTTTGGACTAGCCCAGTGCATCCCCATTTTCAAATCTCAATTACCTGGCAAATGATCATGAATTCCTCGATTTATGGGTGTTGTGCAGACTTTACTGAAGTCCAGTGAATCATCCAAAATGGCATTTATTCTTCGAAAGATATTGGCATTGCTACATGTAGACAGTGCAGGAACTTCCTGGTTGTCCCAGCAATCTTTTATCCTTCCTGTTTCTTCTTCCTAGATATAGAGAAATACATGTTTAGGTTTTCTATACTATAATAAACAGACTCAACCTTGTTATTTTAAACAATACCATGAATTTAAAAAAGTAACTAGAACTTTAGTTTACTGCCTACAAATTAAAACCCTAAATAGATGTTTATTCTGAACAAAGTATTCAGAACACTGAGTACCAACTAATGTATAAAGATATTTTCTCAAGAACTTCTTAATCCAGCAGTACATACACAATAATTAGCATGACATAGTAGCAATATCATGAACTTCAGAACTAGACAGACTTGGTTCAAATCTTCACACTGGAATGTTTTTTGACATAAAGAAATGTACTGAGACATGGTACAATGTTGGTAAACCTTGAAAACATGAAAGAAACCAGTCATAATAAACATATAATGGTTAAGTTTTCCATGGTCCTGTAAATGACCCTTCACCTATATAAAAACCCTAATCAAACACATCAGGCCACCAGAACAGAAAAACAAGATATAAAAATGGGTGACTAAAAGGAAGGGTATCAACAGATATATGAGGGAAACAAGAAAGGATAATGGAGAAAATTATTACATAAATGTATGAAAATGTCATATTAGATCTCATTACTTTCTCTTTTAAAACGTATGCATGTACACACATGTGTCACATACCTGAGATTAGTTATTTTAATTGGGGGGTATTGGAACAATGCCTTAGCATTTAAAAACATTGGCTGTTCTTCCCAGGACTTAGGCTCATAACCATCTGTGAACTCCAGTTCCAGGAGATCTGACACTATCCTTTTGGCTTCTGTGGGCATGGCAAGAAGATGGTACACAGACTTACCTGCATGCAAAATACTCATACACATAAAATGACTCATTGGCCAAACTTGATAACACAAATCTGTAATTTCAGCTATTTGGAAATGTCTAGGTAGGAGTATCATGAATTCATTTAGTGGAACTACCTCAAAATAAAAAGTAAAAAGGCTTGGAGTTTGTTCAGTGGTATGTTTGTCTAATATGCTCAAGACCCCAAGTTCAATCCTCAGCACTACAAAACACCCCTCTAGACACAACTGTACACTGAAAAGTGGATTTTATGATACAGACATTATCTCAGTAAGGTTGTTTGAAATGTATGGCTCTATCATGTATGGGCTGTATGATGCCAGCCTGTGTCTCAGTTTCCCCCTGTATGAAGTGGGTAAATATGACCTACCAACTTTTGGATGACTTGTATAAAGCATGGTGCCCGGGATGTAGCAGTTGTCTCAACACTAAAGAGAGGATGTGGCAAGCATCAAAAATGGAGTCTATAGCATCCAAAGGGAATACAGTCATTGTAAACACACATAAATCTGCTAATAGGAAAATCAGTGCAAGGTATCACTGAAAAAAAATCCTTATATCCAGAATTATAAATGAACCCTAGTAAAAACTATTTGTGTTCTTTGGAAAACGTTAAGTATCACCATTTATTAGTACCAAGGGAAGCTACCTAGCTAGTGTCATTCTTCATATTTCAATTCCCTTATTTTCTACATTCAAGGTCATATGTTTTAAGCAATGACACACTGGCTGACAGACTGAAACTCTCTCTCTCTCTCTCTCTCTCTCTCTCTCTCTCTCTCTCTCTCTCTCTCTCTCTCTCTCTCTGAAAGGGTCTCTCTGAGAAAGGTTCTCACAGAACAGAACTCCATATATCATTACCCTGATCTTTAACTACTGTTGTTAGAGAAATGCTAGCCCAGACTTCAATATGTAGTAACCTGGATCTGCAGAGCAGCAGATACCCAAAGCTATCCTCCTGCTCCAGCTTTCCAAGTGACAGGATTACAAGTATGTGACTCCACACCCAGTGAACAAACTTAATCAACTTTCTAAGGAAAATCAGCTTAAGGAATGCAATTATTCCCAAATAACCTGTGAATAATAAAACAGAAATTAGAACAAGTAAGGAAAACTAGCACTAACTTATATATAGCTTCTCTCCTCAGAACAGGACAGAACTGAATGCTATTACTATTAAAATCCAGGTGATCATTGAGAAGACCAAATGCATTTAATTTAAAAACTGCTGAAAGGTACTAAATGAACAAATTTATATCCTACTTCAAAAGCTTCAAGCTTTTGAAAATAGATATCCCCTGAAGCCTTTGAATGCTGTCAGAATACTCAATTCTGCAAGGGTGTTTGCCAAACCCTACTGACTCATACACTCATAAGGTCTTTTCTAAGATGATACTCAATTTCACTTTGTAGCTTCATAAAGGCATGAATTTACAATCTGCAGATTGTAAGGCTATATACTTCATTAATTCACTGTCTAATGAACATTAATTAAATGTCCTCTATAGGCAACACTTCAAGGGTCTAGAAGTGAGACAAAGATTCAATTTGAAAGTTTGGACAAATGAACTAAAATCTGATTATGTTGTAAATAAAAACAACACAAACTACAGCATGCTGCAAACATATTCTGCCCTCTAATCCATAATGTGTTTGGGAGCTGGATAAAGGGTGATGTCTAAAGAACAACACAGAAAACAGAGACATTATCAAAAGTGTTCCAGTATGGTAGTGTGTTAGGTATGAAGACACTGCAAAGACCTCATAAACCATAAATTTATATCAGTGTCTTCTGCATCAGAAGTTACCAAAAATTTTAAAGCACCCTTTAACAATGAAAACACACCTAATTTTTTGTTTACTATAATACAAGGACTATAAATAAAATCTCAGGCTCTTTGCCACATCTGAGAACAAGTAAATCATTAACTGTATGTCTTAACAGACTGACACTAATTGCAAGAGAGATGAGGACCAATGAGAAAAGTGCGACAGTAGTCTAGGGGACACATGCAAGCTTGGGGATTCTCTGAGAGAAACTCATTCCTTATGAGGAAGGTCTAATTTTTTCAAGTAGCCTGGAAAAAAAAAAACCCCTAAAGAATCTATCCAGTCATTTTGTCTCGCTCCTAATACCATTAGGAAGATGTATCCTATTCATAAACTGAGCAAATGTCATCTAGAATACCCTCTTCCTTATGTACCACAAATTAAGGTCTTGTTTAAGGTGACTGTATAGTTAGAATAAAAATAAGCAAGGTGTTCAATTTATACATAGCTGATCTTACCATCAAGTAGGATGTATGCTCTGAATAACCAACCACAATCGGTAGGGGGGTCAGTAAACCTGTATTGTTAGATGGAGACAGTCCTACTACTTTCTTTTATGTGCACACTACACATGGAAGTAAATATATGGCATGTGGAGTCTGAATTAATACACATGTAGTACTTACACACTGCCTGGCACTTAGTTATATGCTGAGAAAATTAATTCTATCAGTACTAATATAATTATACCATGAGCCAGAGGTAATTAGAGGGATCTTTGAACAAAGGATCCATGTGTTCATTAAATGAGGGGAAAATGTATGTAAATGCTAAGGCAACTGCTGGGCAGTAGTGGCACATGCCTATAATCCCAACACTTGGGAAGCAGAGGCAGGAGGATCTCTGAGTTTGAGGCCAGTCTTGTCTACACAAAGAAATCTTGTCTTGAAAAATCAGAAATAAAAAAAAAATAGCTAAGGCAACTATTTGATGACCCCAGGCCCTTCTCTGCCTGGGTAGCCATTCCTAATATTTGACTTCAGAAACTTAATTAAAATACTGAAGACATCATACAAATAAAACTGCCAAACTTTAATCCACCATAGATTTGAATGATTCTTTTAAAACATTAAAAGAACTCCTATAGTTGACTATCAATGACTTTATTTAGTCTATGTCAGTGGTTCTCAACCTGTGGGTCACTATCCTTTTAGGGCTGTATATTAGATACTACATTGCAATTCATAAGAGTAACAAAATTAGTTATGAAGTAACAATGAAATAATTTTATAATGGGGGTCACCATAACATGAAGAACTAGATATTAAAGGGTCACAGCATTAGGAAGGTTGAGAACCACTCGTCTACCTTAACTTTTAGCAATATATAGTTCTAAGTTCAAATCAATGTTTTAATTCAGACCATTTTTTTTCCTAAAATAGGGTTTTTCTGTGTAGCTTTGTAGACCAGGCTGGCCTCAAACTCAGAGTGACCCACCTGCCTCTGCTAGGATTAAATGTGTGCACCACTGCTGCCTGGCCAAACCAATATTTTACTATAACAAGATTTTTTCTTAGTTAATCTTCTATTGCCTGGTAACTGATTGTTTTGGCACATCTTACCATGAAATAAGATCATCAGCAAACTTTTTTAAATCTCAACTTAAGTCTTTTATTGTGGACAAAAAAAAGTAAGCTTTTATCAAACTTGGGATAAACTATCACTAAATTAGAGAGACAACAGGTTTACTTGATAATACTAGAAAGAGAAAAATGCTCAATCTTTTCAAATTTAAAGCTGACAATATAGCAAAAAAAAAAAAAAATGGCCTCACGATAAAATAAGGTCTGCCTTTGCATGTTATTTGAATGCCTCACAAAGAATCTACTAACACAAATTACTTTAGATCAGGCCCCAATTCTCAAGGGGTAACAACTGATACAAAGACAAACAAACAACAACAAAAAAGCCAAACAGTGGTCTCCTATAACTCTGAGCCTCAACTTTTCTTTCAGAAGTTCAGGCTACAAAAAATTCATTTTTCTTTTTGTACAATGAAATATTCCTTCCCTAAAATGTTAGTCCTTATGTTTAAAAAAAGTCACAGGCTCTGAGTTATAAATACCAGGCCTATCATCTTATATTACTGTAAGCCTAAGTTACCTAAGGTATAAAAAAAAAAGTGGGTAGTAGAGTTTATATTATAAAATTGCAAATTAAATGGCAAGAATTCTCAATAAATAACTTACTATTGGCAGATGTCCAATTCCATGTAGGTAATGGTAACACTATTACAAGTATGCTTCCAATGTATTATTCAAGCCACCTTCATCAGAAAACATTTATCTTACAAAAATAAGGTGGGTTTCTTCCTTTTGATTTTACACCTCTGGTTTC